GATGAGGATCATATATAAATAAATTAGACCAAAAGTAGCAGCATGAGAGCAATAGCATTTGTTGTATTTTGCATAACACAAGGAACTTTAAAGTATAGCCAGACAGTCTTCACAGAAACAACCTGTCCCTGGCAGTTCATTTCTACTGGCCTCCCCACACCTAATATTAAGACGTTCAACAGAAAAGATGGAAAATATTTCGCTCCCATTGAAGGGAAGAACCTGGGTTGAGAATGGAACAACCCACCATGAAAGTGAATTGTCAGGAAACCTCAGCTCTGCTCTAGAACAGTAGTCTAGATGACTGCTATTAACAGAAGAGGAAATATAGTAGAACATCAAAAAAATGATCACCATTACACACCTCACCTGGAAACCAAACCACCAGCTTGATTTTGTAAAAGTTGATTAAATGTTTTGCTCTAGGACAATAAGAAAAGCAACTGTGATAATTGGTGCAAACACTTGGTCAGCATAGTGAAAAACAAGAATTTGCCTGCTGAGAGCTGAATGGAGGGGGGAGGGACAAGGAGCAACTCCAAAGTCAGAATGATTTGAGCCCAGTACTTCTCAAAGACACAACAGAGCACGAAGTGCTAGGCAATGCCTGAGAATGCTAAGGAGCATTATTTTTTATTCTTTTAAATAAGCTTAATTATTTATTTATTGTACATCCTGGCCAAAGTTTCCTCTCCCTCCTCTCCTCCCAACCCCTCCCTCAACCCCTCCCGCTCTGTTCCCACACCCCCCAATCCACTCCTCCTCTGTTTCTGTTTAGGAAAGGGCAGGTCTCCCATGCGTATCAACAAAACTTTTAAAAAGCTACATCTACCAGTCCTCTCTAGGTGCTACATTAATGAAGAATAATTTTTAGTTTCCTATAAACTGAACTCTCTAAAGAAAACCAAATAATAGTTGTTGAAATGTGCATTCAAACAAGAGAGCTGCAGAAAACACGTGAATCAAAACCTCTTCATGCTCCCTCTTTACCATGGAAATAAGAAGTGTTCCAAGTATGTGACAGCATGCCCGAGTACCTGCCTTTCTTGCGGTGTTTTACACACAGGCAGAATCCCCTGGGGTGATGGAATGGTGTTCATTAAGGGTGATCAGCTCTAAGCTGGCAGAGGCTCAGAAAAGAAATAATAGAGTTCCTAACAGCAGAGCCTGTTGATATGGAGAGGAGATTCGGATGATGCCAAGAGGAAGGCTTCAAGTAGGAGGGTGAGTGGAAAGGCGAGGAGCTGCTGCACAGCTCCGTAGGGCTGGTGAGTGTGAATTTGAGAGCGACTTGCATTCTCCTGCCAATTAAGTGCTTACTATTATGAGAGCAGAAAAACTCTTCAAAATGAATAAATGGGTTAAACAGAATGGGGATTACCATTTAAGTAGAGCATTCTAACTTTGCTTCAGATCATGGGAATTCTACAAAATCACAAAGGAGAGAATGAGCTGAACCAAACAGTTTAATTTAATGGGAAATTTATTTTAAAAGAGAAGCTGAGGAAAATTTCTGGAGTTAAGTAATGACATTTAGAATTAGAGGCATTTGTGTACAGAGCAATGTCCATGGATAAAGTTAAGTAATAGGAATGTTCAGAAAGACCTAGAAAAATCTCCAATAGAGACCTCAGGCACTTTATAAAGACGAACAAAGAAAAATGTAAGCTCTTCATAGGAAATAACTAGGATAGTAGAATTTGACCTAAATTAAACCAAAACATTACTTACACATGCTGCCTGCCTGTCAGTAGAGGAATACAAGTATGTATATTTATAGTCACATATAAGTGCATATACACATGTATACACAAATGGACACATGCACACACATGGGCATCTACGTATACACACACACACACTCCTTCCTACCTTAGAAATCACCCCAAGATCATTCCTCTTTTAGGATAATTAAAACATACATTGTTGCCCATTACCTGTTATGGATCTGTGTGTATTATGGATTGAATAGAAAAATTAATATTAACTGACATGTCACTTCGCTGCAATGTGTATTTCATCAAGTCAGGGAAAGGGTGATTATTAAAACAAAGCACTGTAAAAGGTAGAGCTCCAAATTATACCCCACACCAAACACGCTCTTCCGAGAGGAAAAGCCGAATTCTCAGCCTGTGCTCTCGAAAACAAAGACAAATTGTTATAAAGTCTGAAATTTAAGATATATTCCAGAAATTAAATTATATACCAAAATATTTTCTCAGAATATAAATGCTTTTTAAGCATTTTAAAGGATCTCTTAAAAAAAATAAAGTAGAAACTTTCCAATTATAAAATTTCCTCAGAAAACCTCTATTGTGCTTTTAATTATTTGCTAATTTGATTTAAGATTTTTTTTAACAAATGTAAGTGGCTAGAGTTGTCTTTTTTTTTTTTCATTTAAATTTCATAAGAAAGAGATTCACAAGGCACATTCCCTCACTAGACTCTGTGTGGCCTATTTATTGGAAATGCTTCATTCCATATGGATTTCTTCTCTTTTATTTATTACTTCCAGAAAGGATTTTCTCTAATAAGTTAGCAACTCAGGGGCAACAGATTTGAATTGCAAGCTTTCAAATCACAGTCCCACATCTGCCACCTGCCACATATCTTCTAGAAGTACCAGAAAAGCTCAAACTTCCATGTGGCGCAGGAGCCAATGCCGTGTGAGCCACAAGCAGGTGGTCCACAGAGGTCAAGGTTAAAGTTCATGGAATAACTTAGAAACGGTTCTCAGCTTGGATCTCATTTATGAAGCTTGAGAATACACCCTCTAATTAGAATGCAATTTCCAAAGCAGCCACTCCCTTGACTTTCCAGGACTACGTTTCATTCTCAGTAAAGAAAAGTAAAAACAGCCTCTTCACATTGCCAGATAACAGTCCATTATAAATTATGCCTTACACATTCAATAAAGAAGGCAGCAGGCATCCTGGGCAGCAAAGACAACACGTGAGCCTTCAGCCTTCAGAAACTACCCTCAAGAACAGATAAAGAAAACTCAGATTCAACAGTTACTCTCTGCACTTTTGACTTTTGTAGCTGAGCTATCCCATGGAAGGTTGGAAAAACGAGTGGGTTGTGGTTTGAAACAGTTCCCACACTCCAATCGTCCTCTTTTTTTTTTTTTTTTTTTTTTTTGATGACCTCTCCATCCAGCCACCCCAGCACTGTAGTAGGATCTCTCACATCAGTTCTGCAGGAGCCAGCTGTCCTGTTCTTCCATGGTGCTCAGGGAGCCACACAGGACTCCTGGAACAGGACTGTGCCAGGGCTGACTCACTGCAGATGTTCCCTTCCAGCCCCATGGAGTTCTGAGGCACAGTCTCCCTTTCCAAGGCCTATTGTTATTACAAAAGATCTGCTGAGCCTCCAAAATGTGCTGAACACTAAAGCAAGAAGAAAACAGCCTTCTCACCTAATATGGGAGGCAAATTTTGAATTAGGCAGAAATGGCTGAGGACTCTGTTGGGAAAGGCCAAGATGGAAAGGCAGACAGACAGCTACATGGAGTTCAAAATCAGCATGGACTAGCAGATGCTACCACAATCACAAACTTCTCCATGCAGTCCAGAATGGAGTCATGTTTAAAATGCTATACATTGTTCCACTTTAAACGTTTCTTATACATCCAACAAGACAGTCGTTGTCCCTAGGGGGTAGGGAGGGGGGGGGGAGGGAACTATATATGTCCCCAATAAATGGAGTTTAAATTCTTTCCTATGTATCTTAGTGTAAAGTCTAGTTGCTAGGAAATCACAGGCAAAATGTGACAGCATCTCACCAAACCTTATGTTTCCCAATTGTAGAGTCAATATTTTGATAAAAGATGGCCAATATATGTTGAGGGATAACTACTTGAAATACTGTTTATTTGATTTTTTGGAAAAGGCTATATTAATCCTGTTTGTCACTAATTTCTGAGTTACATTTCCTTCCTTCCTATTGCCTCGCCAAGACAAAAGTATCTCAAATCTAAAGTTAAAGAACAAAAACTAATTTTAAGAGCTTCTGTAAAACAGCAAACTATAAATGTCCTTCAACAATATTTTTACTATTATTGTTAATTTCCTGCCAAGTTGGTCTTTTTCTAGTATTCAGTGAGGGCTGGGAACTGAGCACTCTAGAGAAGAAAGGAATGTCAAGAGTCTTGAAAAAAAAAGTAAAACAAGAAGGAATCTATATTATGAATTGTCTAGAATGATGTATCAAATTTAAATTATAGTACAACACTTGAATCTGAGAAATGTATTCTCTGTCCACTCTATCATACTAATACTGAGATGCAATAAACCATGAGCAAGAATTCAAAAGATTTTCTTCCATGCTTTTTTTGGGTGTGTACCTTTACATTCACTCCTTTGCTAAGTTCTTTTCATGGCAAATTCAGTTTAAAGTCTATGAGGACTCAGGGACAGGACATAAGTTCCAGAGGATCTAAGGCAGAACCTCAAATAAAATTCATGTTTTGAGCACCACCCAAAAGATACCAGCATTTCAGAACATTCTCAGGGTGAAATAAATACACGAATGCTGTATAAATGCTCTATGAATTAACCAGGGGGAGGAGGGGAGAAGTATAAAAAAGACATAGATAGTAATATAAAAACAGGTTTGGTAGCACTTGCCAAATGAATAGAGACCACATGAGCACTGTCCTTTAGATCTGATTTTGTTTTCTTAGTATCACAGTCCAACATGTCCTTAAAGATGCCTAATTTCCACTGAGTCCTCACTGAAGAAAGAGCTAACTTTGACTAAATCTAACTGTAGGGTATAACATTTACAGGGCAATTCTTCCATTCTAAAGAAAGTATAGAAGCATATAGAGTATTTACATACTAGTTTTAGCTCTGATTTTTAACTCTGATGCTTTAGTACAAACAAAAACACTTTCAGATTTACAAATGTGTAGCAAAATAACTTGGGAAGGTAACTGAAGGTATAATATCAAAGTCATATCCCTGAATCACTCAGATTTTCTCTTAAAAAATACTTACTTCTGACTAGTTCACCATCGGGAGGATTTCCCCAAATGGACTGGTCCCTCATCAGTCCATACATGGAGTGGCAACTGGTAGGTTGACTTATATCTTTCTCAGCATTGTCCTCATTACATTTCTCTGAAAAAGATTAGACATTTATTACCAATTGATGAATGCGACATGTATTTTTTGTTTTCAGTTTTGTTTGTTTGTTTGAGACAGTATCTCATAGAACACAGGCCTGGAACTCATGATGTAGTTGATGATAACTTAAAACTCCTGACATTCCTACCACTACCCCGCAGCTGCTGGAATCATGAGTGTGTGGCACCAAATATAGCTGAATTTTTTGTACTACTTCCAAGTCTGCCATAGCTTAAGAAGATAGAATTATACCATTATTGACTGTTGTATATGTTTTTGGCTCAATAAAATTTGTTGAACACCTACTATCTTTTCATCCTTAAAGAAACAAGCTCACAATAAAATATAATCTGTCAAGATTGTAGTAAATAAATATTAGCATGGTAAGTGATCTGTCATCATAGAGAAATGTAGAAAGGTTACCTCAAGGATGAGGGTGAGTGAGTCCATACAGATAGGGAGCAGGTGAGACCGAAAAAGCATCAAAGAAGAGACTACAAATGATTGATGGAGATAAAAGCCAGACCACAGCTGAATGAGGAGTGACTGGGCAGTCAGGATCTAGGAAACAAGTACAGAGTTCTCTCTGTAGAAACGGAAGGAAAAAGTCAAAGAGCGCACAATGCGACCTCAGAGATGGAAGTATTTAGGATGAGAGGTTGATATGTAGGATCATGAGCTCTCAGGTGGAAAGATAACATGTAAGGAAATGGAATGTCTTGTTGGGAGCATAAGTCAAGCAACACACAACCTATAACACAAGGCAGAATGCATGCTATGAAAGGTCCAGAGTACTAAAAGGGTTCAAAAGAAAGGGGAAAAAAATCTCATCAGGATTCAGAGATCAAGAAAGACACTTTAGAGAAAGGAGCACATTGGATGGTTTCTAAAAGATAAGAAGAACTTCAAAAGTCACATGGGAAAAAGGTGGAAGAACAGCATGGGAAAACTCCAAAGCAGACACTTGGGCAAAGGTCCCAAATCCAGGCTATGAAGTGGTTTCAGAGGGACAAGAAGCAAGGCTGTAAAGTTCTCATGAAGCCATAATGTGGATATTTGAATGCCAACATGGGAAATTTAGACTTAATTCAAAAACAAGATGAATAAATCCAGTGAGCATTGAGGCTTTGTGAAATGCCTAAGCAAAGCTATATATTAAGGAGAGTAATAAACAGGTACATCTGTGCTTCTCAATCCTAATTGGCTGGAGAACATTTTGAAAAAGCAGATTCCTAGGCCACAATGAATAATTCTATTTCATTTAAGGGACATAGAGCTATTCTCAGGGTGATCCACTGTCCCTATGTCCTTTAAATGTTCACTTGATATCTGATGTGTACAATAAGAAGAGGATGATAAAGAGGAGAGGGAGAAAAGGGGTGGGAGAGAGAGACAGACAGACAGGCAGAGACAGAGACTGAGACTGTTGAATTTGAATGCTAACTGCCCTCATAGGTTCACATGTATGAAGATGTGAGCTGATGGTGCTACTTGAAAAGGCTCTCTCTGGAAACCTTATGAAATGTTCTGAGGTCTAGTCTCAATAGAGGAAATGGTAACTTGGGGTAGGCCCAGAGGCTTTGTAGCATGCCCCACCCACCATTCCTTCTGCTTCCTGGGCACATATGAAATGTAACTAGTCAACTTCCTGTTTCTGCCACAGTCTCTGCAGCCGTCTCTGCCTGCTACCATGTCTTCTATGCCATGTGGGACTGTATTTTTCCAAAATAAACCTTTCCTCCCTTAAGATGTTTTTATCAGGGTATTTTTACCATAGCTACAGCAAAACATGCGGGCACTGAAATGGAGACTTGGTGAAGTTCAAATAGACACTGATGAGAGTTTAACTGAATGGCATAATAGAAAAGGAAGCAGATGTAGAAACTAAGGAAGGTTTGCACAGATAAATAAACAGGCCTTTTTGTTTGTTTGTTTGTTTGGTTTGGTTTGGTTTGGTTTTTGGTTTTTCGAGACAGGGTGGAATGACCGAATGTTTAAGCCAGATTTGATGATAAAAGATTGGAAGAATGGGAGAGTAACTTACTCATTATGTACATAGAATACATGTGGTGGATTCAAATGTTCATTCATTTCATTGGGTGATGTTCATACCTTGAAAGATAACACATTACCCAGCCTTCATGTAGTTCATAGTCTAGGTGATGAGTTCAATACTATCTGAATGTGCAAACAAGAAAGAAAGGTATAGCTAGTCTGTAGGAAGTGGGTGAAGTCCTGAATAAATGTGTATTGCGGGACATGAGCCAGCCATGTCAAGGACCAAAGCCTCAGACCCATGGGGATTTGGCACATTCCACACCTCCACACTGGGTGAGGCTCAGAGAGATTGTGAAGCCTTCCTCTGGCCCAAGAGTGAATGTTCATAGTGTCTGCAGAAATATGTGCCATAACCTCCCCCTTTACAACCTGAAGACTGCTCTCCTATAAAGAAGGCTTCTAGTGAGGTTAACTAAATCTGTCTCCTCGATTCAGCTGTATCCATAAACCCTCTGTGATTCAACTGTACCCATAAACTCGGCCTCCATGCTCAACTACATATAATAAACAGGAGCATCAGGGTGCTGTGGCTTCTTCATCAGAGAGCCCAGCGCACCCGATCCCGGCTGTTCTGTGTTTTGACTTTACTTTGTTCCCTTGCTGCCCTAGTCGGTCAATCCCTGGAGCCTGCTAGACACACACTAGGCATCTTCTTAAAGTTCCACTGCTGAAGTATTCCCAATCACTGAGCTTGTCAGAAGAGAAAATCTATTTAAAAGAGTCTGTAGCATTAGGAAACAGTCAGAGAAACTACATAATGTCGAGCTATGGAGGCAAAGACGCAAAGAGACCCAGGCAGAAGTTGTCAGCCAGTCTTTTTAACATTTCCAGTAGAAGGGAAAAATTTCTGCCCATGCCAAAAAAAAAAAAAAAAAAAAATTCTCATGTATCATAGAAATTTCACAACAAATTAACAATTCTGCTACAAAGCACATTTCAACACATGAAATATTGATGGGTATAAACTCAGGACTAAAATCAGAGGCTAAGATTGCTACAAAAAAAAAAAATACGGGCCTTCAATGATAAGCATTTTTAGACTGCAAAACCATAGTCAAACACCAGTAAAATATAAATTAAAAGCATGTTAAACCAATATGTTCTAGATTTATGTAACATTTACTCAGCATTATCACAGGGAAAATGTAATCTTCACAAGATGTGTTAGTTTCAATTAAAATCTTAACTTTCTTAAACAACTCCAGAATTCTTTACTGCTGTAGTCAACTCAGGCCTTTCTGAGATTATCAGTAAAAAAGGTTTCTGCAGTCTCACTAGTATACATGAACTGGCTTATCGGCAGTCCTACATACTCATACTGTTACGTAGCTGGCTGCCGCCAGGTGTCATGCTAGCAGGCTTGATTCAATTAGTAACTTTAATTGAAGCTGAATGAAATTAATTATATAATTTTGAGCTGTTCAAGTTTAATTCCATTAAAATTAATTCATGAAACCAAGGCATTATGAAGCATTGCTGACTAAAAGAAAATAGGTATGAATAAAGCCTCTAGACACACTTGATGCATATTTGAATCATGTCCAATATTCAAGTGCTAAGCACAGACCCTCTCGACTCCTCACTGAATAAATGACAATGCCACGTGGTCCATATACACATGGATTTACAATGATGTGACCTACTCTGGAGTCAGGGCGGGAGGGAAGGGGAGACAGAGTTCTTCCTACCCCCAAATTCTTATTAAGAGACAGTTTATCATTTTTTTAAGGAGTTTTCTTATCTGGAAATTCTAGAATTAGATGATCCCTAATGTCCTGAAATCAAAAAAGGAAAAGAAGAACTACCACTCTATGTCTCATGATATGGGTAATAAATTCTGAGCAGTTCCTATGACATCACAATCACCAGCATATATATCCAACTTTGCCTCCTTTGAAAACTAAAGGCATGAGAGCTGGTTCCTAGTGAGTCCTGTGATGACCCATTGCACCCAACCCAAGGCAAGGCCTAGTAAAGGTTCCCAGTAAAAACTTACATTGTCTTCAGCTAATTCTTTACTTGGATAAACTAAACTTCTGTGATCACTTGTCTGCTCTAGGCCCACCTAAGGCATGCACACCATTTACCTGTATTATTTTACATTTCCTAAACTTAGTGGAATACTAGATATCTACCTCATAAATAGTGGGTATTTACAGGTATCACTGAAGCAATGGAAGGATGAGAGAAAAAGGGATTCACTGTTGGGAAGAACAACATTTAAACAGACTCAACCTTCAAACACTTTTCAAATGGCTGTGTCAACCACTCCTCCTTAAGATGATAAAAATATCTAATAACAGATGAGTATTATCACTGTCAGAGTGCTGTGCCACTTCTGCATTGGAAAGCCAAGGGTTCAATCCATTGTATCCTGGACATATGAAGATTTGTGGTGCAGTTCAGCTACTATGTGGGGGCCTAGTATGTAGACCATCAGCACCAAATGATTTCTCTAGCATAGGACATCAGTTTGTACCTAGCTGTAAGATTTAACAAGTATAGTCAATGGAGTCCTCGCCTCTATGTAGTGGATTATTCTTCTAAGTCATGGTTCTCAGTTTTGGTACTGAGTCAGAACCATGTGGAGAACTCTGACCACATACAGATGCACAGACCCCCAAACTTAAAGTATTTAGTCGAGGTGATTTTGGTGGATGGAAGAGTGATATCAAAATGAAATGTGTCCAAGCTGGGCAGATAAGAAGATCCACATCTTACTACTCATCTCCTCATCACAGGATTCCAAGGAATCAAAAAAATCAAAGTTTATCTAATCATCTAATTAATACATCTGTATTTAGTTACACTTCCTTGTCAGGTCAAGTATGAAAATATGAAATTTGAATGATTTATAATATTAATCAATTCTATTGATATACGGGATAAAATAAATATATTTTAGATAACATAAATTGAAAGCCTTTTAAAACTAC